AGGATTCCAATATATGACAAAATACCTACCATTCTTATCTATATGTTTGATTGATGACAGGTGGGATTGTCAAAGGTGAAAGATGTCTGGTACTGGGACCACCAATCCGCTTGCTTAGCATGGAGTATTTTGGTGAACTTAACATGTCCTCCAACCTTTCCTTTGTTATCTTTTAGTCATGCAGGTTTTCTCAAAATATTTACTTACTGCCGATAAGTTTACTTTTAAAATACTCAGTAACTGTTGTCAAAGTTGTATCCTAAAACATACTGAGCATTCATGGTTGTTTTTAACAAAACAATTTCATCACCATCACAACCCTTCACAAGTCCACTGCTGAACATAGGGCTCCCCCAAGTAATGCCACAAAGCACGGTCCTGAGCCACCTGCATCCATCGACTTCCTGCATATCTTACCAGGTCGTCACTCCATCTAGTGGGGGGTCGCCCTACACTACGCCTACCGGTACGAGGCTGCCACTCGAGGACCTTTCTTCCCCATCGGTTATCAGTTCTTCGAGCTATATGGCCGGCCCATTGCCACTTCAGCTTACTAATCCATTGGGCTATGTCGGTCACTCTGGTTTTACTGCGGATATCCTCATTTCTGAGTCTATCACGCAGAAAACTCCGAGCATAGCCCTCTCCATAGCTCGCTGAGCGACCTTGAGCGTCCTCATACGGCCAGCAGTGAAGGACCACGTTTCTGATCCGTAAGTCATCACTGGCAACACGCACTGGTTGTACACTTTAGTTTTCAGAGATTGAGGTATACCTGACGAGAAGATGTGTCGTAATTTCCCGAACGCTGCCCAGCCGAGTTGAATCCGTCGATTGACCTCTCGGTCGAAGTTGGACTTACCTAGTCGGACTATTTGTCCCAGGTAAACGTACTCGTCAACAACTTCGAGCATAGTGCTCCCAACAACTACCGGCATAGGTGTGACATGGACATTAAACATGATCTTTGTTTTGTCCATGTTCATCTTAAGACCTATCTGTTGGGAGGCACTATTGAGGTCATTGAGCATAGTGCTTAAGTCCTCCAGCGATTCTGCCATAAGGACTATATCGTCGGCAAATCGAAGGTGAGTGATGTAATCGCCATTGATGTTAATACCGTATCCTTTCCAGTCCAGTAGCTTGAAAACGTCTTCCAAAGCAGCGGTGAAGAGTTTCGGGGATATAACGTCACCCTGTCTTACACCTCTCTGCAGTTGGATAGGTTTCGAGCTCTGGTTCTGTACTCGGATAGCCATCATAGCCCTACTGTACAAACACTTCAGCACTTCGATATACCGACAGTCAACTTGGCACCGCTGAAGGGACTGCAGCACCGCCCAAATTTCGACGGAATCAAAGGCTTTCTCATAGTCCACATACGCCAGGCAAAGTGGCAAATTGTACTCTTCAGTCTTCTGTACAATCTGCCGCAGGGTATGTATGTGGTCTATGGTACTGAAGCCTTTTCGGAAACCGGCTTGTTCGGGAGGCTAGAAGTCCAGCCTCCAACAAAACAATTTACATAAATATAATTTTTTCTCTCCTTTGGTGTATTTGTTACCCAGGTTAGATTCCCGTCAGCACCAATAAAATTGTTAGTTGCAGTTTTAAATGTTGATTTACCACATGCTCGGTTGGTGTAAGGATAACATTGTCGAAGGAAAACTGCATGTCCTTAAAAATTTCAAAAAAACACATTTTAAAGAGGTGTGAAGTCAACCAATATGCAATGAGGCTGCATGGTGGACATTTCCTACCCCCAAAACTGTCAGATATAAGAGGAGGCCTGTACCCAGGAGTGAAGATGTATATAGGCTGTAAATTTACATTGATTTCTTACAATATATTATACTGTTACATAAAAAATAAAAAGTTTTTTTTTCACTAAAATGCTTTGGTACTTATGTTTGTGATACATTCTATTATAAACAATATTATTTCCCACAGGTTTGCGGTGGTGGTCCTCGATTATCGCTCTGGCATCTACGATCTCTCGACGCAGTAACGGTCTTCGACATCCCAGATCATGGCATACACGTGTCATTCTTTCATGACGATTGTGTGGTAGCGGGCGGGGCGGCTAAATATTTATATCAACTGAGTTACTCCGGCGAAGTTAAAGTAGAGTTACCAGTATCTGCTACCACAGTTTATTCAGCAATACTGCGGACTAATCCAAACAATCTGTTGGCTATTGCCGGATCCAGTCCCGAAATTGATATTTGTACAAGTTTCAATTACAGAGACCAGGTTTTGCACTTTAGATAAACTTTTTTAATAAATTGATACTAAGATTTTACACATATTTTTTTCTTTTGCTATTATTATAAATAAATTTGTTGAGATTTCCCATGGTGCGAGAACTCATGAATTGATGCAACCCAATGTATGGTGATTAACATTTAGGTGACAGATATGTGATGTGTGATGATTCACCATCCATGCATAGCGAATAAGGCATATCCTTCAGCTGTGGCTATTATAAAGAAAATATGAAATTAAATAAAAACCATCATCAGAGCTATGTCGTCCAAAAAGCAACGCCTGCTGAGTAGAATCCAGCTAAACCAGGCCGTGTCTACCTAGCCTAAAATTACTGAAAGTACAAACAAGCAATTTTAGTACTTTTGGGATCATTTTGAAGGGTATAAGGGGCCATCCATAAATTACATCACACGTTAAGTGGAGAGGGGCAACAGAAAGTGACATTGTGTGACAAGGGACGGGGGGGGGGGGGTAAAAGCTATATATATTAAAATCTAAAATACTAAAACGCGAAATTTGTGATAATGTGAAAAGTGATAAACAATATCAAGGAGTAGGTCCAAAGTCCGTGGAATCAAGATGATTAAGTTTTCTATCTTTTATTAACTTTTGATCCTTTCTTTTATCAATCATCTAAAATATTTGACTTTATTTTGATTTTATTAAAGATAATTTTTAATTTAAATAAAAGAATGGGAAAACTAATATTTTAATTTAATTAATTCTGAAATATTAAAATTTTAAATATTCGATGTCACACCAGATGGGAGGGGGTTTCACAAGTGTGAGCACCTGTGATAAGGACGGGTGTGGGGGCAAAAAACCATAACATTTGTGTGACGTAATTTATTGATGGCCTCCCACTGTTAATTAACGAGTAAAATAATCTTACAGCAACAGTAATAACAATGTCCTCCAGACCGAATTTCGATCTCGGCGGCAAGACTTAACAGTGTATGAGTGTGTGCGAAAACATAAGTAAACTATTCCCTTATTCTCATAGTCCGATAAGACGACAAACCGACACCACTGGAGAGCGTTCAGACACAGAACCAACGAGGATACGTCTCATTGCTAGGCACAGGCCTCTCGTTTCTGATAGGGCTGTAGATTGTGTAGATGAATTTGTCTTCCGTGCTGTTCCAGTGCGTGTTCACGGACTTCACGTCATTACTTCGAAATATTTTATTATTGTGCGTTGTACGAGTGCTTCCTTACGTGCATCAACCATATTCTTCTAAGACAGTGTGTGCACTTAATATATTTAGCAAGCACAAAGATAGCAGAATTACAGTTTGAAAATTTTCAAACAATATACTCAGAGCTTAGACCAGCAACCAGAAGCTGCGCATAAAGCGTGAGGCATTGTATAAAACCTACATTCGTTTGTTTTTTCATACCTTTCTTATAATTACTTGATTTATAAAACATTACTCAAGAAAACTATTTGGAAAGGTAGCGAAAAGTTAAACACTGTATAACATAAAACTCTTTACTCTTTTTTTCTTTTTGCAACAATTTATATAGGTAATAAGTATTAATTAAAAATGCAGTGATATTCACATTTTACATACAATATAAGTAAATGCAGTGATTATTTCGTATTAACTGATGGTTTGATCGTTACTGAAAATTAGCGTGGTTTTTTTCATAACTCATGTTGAGTGATGATATTTTCGGCATGCCTTACGACATACAAATTCAAACGAAGCGACAGTAGCCTAATGGCAGGGCGCGGATCGCGAACTCAAAAGGTCGTGGGTTCGAATCCGCCATTTGACTACTGTCGTGAACCACTCCTAACACAAGCATTTTCAAGCTTACCAGGAGTGGTTAAAAGGAATATTAGTAATGTTAATTAATAAGATTACTAATATTTAAAAAAAAAAACTAATTTCCTCCAGGCCGAATTTCGGTCACGGCGGCCAATCTGAACGGAGATTAGCCCATTGCGCAGGATAGGGTTATATGCCCGAGTGTATGCGTAAGCACAGGTGCAGGCTATTTCTTCACTCTCATAGTCCGATGGGACGGTACGGACGTGACCGGAGAAATCAGGCGCATGACCTTTACGTGCTTTCTGAGGCACGAGGACGTCCATTAGAGACTGGGCGGGCTGCAACAGTGCGGTGATCGTTTTTGCGTACTGCGTCTTTTCCATTTTGCAAGGCAGGCCGGGCCGCATAGATGGATTTTTGGGGACAGTCGTAGCTGCGCGATAAGTGAGCGTACGGTATTGTGGTCAATGGAAAACTCTAACGACTTATTTTTATCTATATCTATACAAATAAATAAAATTTGTCTGTTTGTAATGTCAAAATAATAGCTCTTTCATCTATATTCATTTGCGGATTTTTATTTTGGTTTTCATCCAATAGTGGGTAACATTAAACTATTATAAATTTATAATTCTTTTTATTCGTGATACTTATTTTAACATATTATTGTAATTTCCACTCTGTAATAAGTAATAACATTTACAATTGTATATATAAATGTTAACCAATCAAAAAGCTAACGGTTAACACACTACTAGTATCATCACAAAATATATGTTATAAAATATAGTGCAATTTTAAATAATTAGTGGATTTTTATGAAACATGGTAAAATCAATTTACCATAGATAACTACCTATATTTACAGATTAATTTATGTTTTGTTGGATCTAAAAACAATGATTTGTTTTTTTAACATTTCTTAAATACTCTATGACAAATTCAAAAATGGAATCAAATATAACCATGATCGGCCACAACAGCCGGTATAAAACCCTCACTACCATCTTTTTTTCTTACATAAAACCATTCTGAATCCACATCAGTCTCACTACCATCACCTTGCACTAGCGTTACGACGTCACCTTTATGCACAGTTAATGTTTTATTTAAAACATTCCCGCCATAATCACTGTTAACAACTAATAACGTCTGTCTTTTCACACCATAATTAACTTGTAAATTCTCCTTCTCATGAAGTCTATCGATGTTTGAACAAATAGATTTGGTTTTTAAATAAAGCGTATCAAAATCCTTTTCCGCGCAGGAAGTTTTGAGAATTTTTTGAGTGCGTGGCTTGGTACGTGTTTCCGAACGTGTCCGACCGCGAAGTTGTTCTTTTTCCGTGTCCGTCAGGTTGCCACATGGCTGCGGGTAAATATCAGTGCTGCTTTCCCAGCAAGGAGTTTTCTTCTGCACCGAAGTTCTGAAATATTTAATAGAAGAATTGATGAATGTGTAATAAATGTAAATATAGATGTGCGTCTTGTGGTCCGGCACGCCCTGCCAATATGAATAAGGGAGGAGTTATCTTCACCTGGGGAGGGACTACTAAAGACGCGATCGGCGCTGGTGAAGTTGTGGATAACACTGCGAGGGTGATGGGGGTAGTAAGTAAGGTGGCCATAGACAGGGCGTGCTTAACCCATTAGTGGCCAAAATCAAATAAAAAACGTTTTTAACGAAAAATGTTTATTTTGTTAATCTAGGCACGACTAGCATATATAAAATGAAAAAAAAAATTTTAATAATTTTTTATACTTTTTCAGAGGTGTACTTGTTTGAGTACAGCGGCCACTTATGTGTGAAATTTTTCGAAGCATGACTTTTCAACGCAGAGTGTTTTCAAACACTTCTTGCATTCCCGTCGGACCCTTACATGGCAAATGACGCACAGTAATTGCTTTTCAAGCTTTCTTGGGCCTTAACCATCTTGAGGCAGTCCTTCGACCATAGAAGAAGATGATCTGGCTCTTTTTAGAGTTTCTAGTCGCAAATAGTATCTGGCAAGACTACGTCGAAACAAGAGTTGATCCATAGGGTCATCCTTGCTCATAACATGTAAACGCCAAGCGTTTGAAACGGTCATGTCCAACAAGTATGTAAATAAAATCCACCACCACTTTTTGCCATGAATTCCGATCCTGTATAATGATATGGACTGATAAAGCTCATCGACTCCACCCATACCTTTATTGTAGTTTTCAAATAAAAGCGGAATCTTTACATCGGTTTTCTCTCTCATTTCTGGGCACCATCTTTTTACCGTGCCCATTGGTTCAAAGTAATCATAGTTAGTAGCCATCGTGCAGACACTATTGTCTTTCCATCTGACTAACAACAGTTCATTATTTTATCGAATCTGTAATCAAAAGCCGCTCTCTCTTTCTTCTTCATCTCCTTAGTGGCTGTCAATGGGCACTTTTTAGTGCGATTCTCATGAACTGTTCCAGTAGCGCAGTAACCCAGATTGTGCAAATCAACCAAAAGATTACAGTTTGTAAAAAAGTTGTCAAAAATACTTTATGATTTTTTGGGTCGGTATCTAATTTTGACAACAGAGACTTCACAACTCTGGTTCCCAAAGGTTCATCAGAAGAATCAAGTGATTTTCCACAGTAAAAATCAAATGTGTAGCAGTACCCAGTGGAACTTGCAGCAACCCAGTTCTTATATCCAAAACGGACTAGTTTGCCTCGTATAAATTGCTTACTGGGGTGGTGTCCATAATATTTGACCATTGAATCGTCAATTGAAATATTTTCGTGAAATACGCTCCATTGATTGAATTTGGACATCAGTATGTCGGCTAGGGATCTAATTTTGAATATTTTATCTCTGGAATGTGATGCTTCATCGTTATTCACAAGATGAAGATATCTTTTTATTTCACGAAATGTATTCCTCGACATAGCTCTTGAAACTAGCGCAACTCCGACGTCCTCATCCAGATTCCGATATAATGCTTTCCGAGGCAATTTGTGATATCCCGACAAAATCAAAATACCAATGAACTTTTTTAGGTCTGGTAAATCAAGTTGAAAAGAGTGTCTATTGTTTTGATTAGCGTACAAAATACTATTAGATAACATGAGCTGTAATACTTCTTCATCCAGAATTTTTTCAAAAATTTGTACAGAATTTTGGTCTTTTAGCTGTTCCTTTATAGCATTCTGTTTATCTTGCACCACAGACGTATGCTGATGGCCAACAGTATAGGATGGTGAACATTTTCTCCAGGCTGGAGTTTTCTGCCGCTGCTGAATATTAGCCTGCCAACGAACTCGTTTTGCGATCAATGGTTCTTCGTCACTGGAATCATAGTCGCTCGACAAAGTACCTTCATCAAGCACCATAACCTCAATATTTCCGGACACATCTCGTGGCAACGTATACGTCACCATATCTTGATCAGACCCTTCCTCTTCGTCAGTTACGACACTGGGATCAGGTGGTATTATCGCCAAATCGTATTCCCGGTCATCATCACTATCTGCTGTGACTGCTTCAATTGCTTCCTCAAGTCCTATAAAGCTATTTGTACCGGAAAAAATCTTGCGACTCATTGTTGATAAACTGAAACAAAGTTGTATTTTTTATTTATTGAAGTGACCAGTGTACTCAACTGAGTACATCACTAAAAATCTTCATCTATAGTTCGTAATAAACAATAATTGTTTCAAATTTGCAACTCACATTATAGAATTCACTGTATCTTATCACAATTATTACTAAAAACAACATTTACACAAATAATAATAATAAAATATAATAAAAATAATACTCACTTGCACGCTAGTCCAATAACATGAAATCGGGTTACTCCAAATGACACATATTTTAGAAATACCCTCAATTTGCACAACTCAAAAAATTATGAGTCTACCCTCTATTTAATTTATTAAAATAAAAAATAACAAACCCTCACAGATTTAGTCTATTAATTTTTTAAGCAACTGTACTCGTTTGAGTACAGCGACAGAGAATGGGTTAAGACAAAGCATAACGACAGCGACCTCGGTTGTGTTTACAACGATATCCCGGGATCCTTCGTCTACGCTAATGGCAATAATTGTGGGTTTATGATTGAGTTCATAATCACCACTGTTACAGCTAATCACAAATCCATTGCCTGCAAGTATCAAGTTCCCGTATGACTTTCCAGGTCGTCACTCCCTCTAGTGGAGAGCTGATACGAGGTTGGCATTTGCGAACCTTTCTTCCCCATCGATTGTCGGTTTTTCTAGCGTAATAGCCGGCCTTTGAGATATACCCACGTGACGAACAGATGTGCAGTAATCTCCCGAACGCTGCCCAGGCGAGTATTACTTACACAGTTGGGCAATTTGTGGGGTAATTATACTCGTTAACAACTTCCAGTGGAGTAGTCCCAACAACTAATGGCATAGGCGTGACATGGACGCGTTGCACGTGACCTTTGTATTGTCAATTTTCATTTAAGACTTATCCGTTGAGAAACCCTATTGAGGTCATTGCATTAGTCATAAAGAAAAGATATCGTTTGCAAATCGAAGGTGTGTGATGTACTAGCCATGGATGTTAAACCACATCCTTTCCAGTCCTTTAGCTTGAAAATGTATTCCAAAGCAGCGGTGAAAACAGTACCTAGACGCGGCTAAGACCGTATATCTAGATTGCAGAACTACACACCATAAATTGGTGTGTAGCGAATTAACCTCTTGTGTCTTCCAGACTGGATTCCGGTCACGATGGCCAGTTCTAAGCAGATAAGTTGTCTGCGCGAGACAGCATTTTTTTAAAGAAGCGAGTGACAAACGGGCACAGTCCATTTGATGGTAAGTGGATGTTGTGGCCCATAGACATCTACGTTTATCCTCGATTAAGAATCAAAATTCAGATGCGTTGTCACTCCTGAGGATTAAGATGGAATGCCTCATTTCTCTACTCTCACCATACGAAACATAGCGGCATTAAGCTGTATTCTGTGATAGCGCCCGGTTGAGCCCACCCATTTGTGCTACAACCATAATACAGCTGCAGCGTGGCTCTATAACGTAAAAAAAGTACGGATTTAATCCATTACTTGCTTTATGTATGATATAAAACTTACTTATTCGGCAATATTCCTAAAGGTAGACATGCACTGTACAACACATAGCCCTCGTGCCCATGTGGCGTCTGTGCATAAACCCACTGCTGATTCTTGAACACAGCGTTAACGACTGTACCCAGAGGTAGCGTCAGCTCGCGTTGACAATCCTTCTGCGTCTGGTACAGCGTAGTGGGAAACGCTATTACCACTGGAATGTTGCCCGGACGATCAATGGTGGCCTGAAAGCGACAAATTATAATAGATTCATTAGAAAAAATATTTTTATGATAATAATTAGTAATTTATAAGTGCTAGAGCCACGCTACAGCTGTATTGTGGTTGTAGTACGAATGGTCGACCGGGGAGGGACCACGCACTCACAATACCAGCGTAAAATAGCAGCTTCATGCTATGTTTCGTATGGTGATTGCAGAGAACGGGAGACCCTTTTTACTGGAAACGAGGCATTCCATCTTAGTCCTCAGAGGTGACAACGCATCTGCGTTTTGATTCTTAATCGAGGACCAGATGGACTGTGTGTTCGTTTGTCACCCTTATTCAATAATAAAAAAAAAATCGTACAAAATATCGATTTAGAGAAGTTAGTCAACTGGCGGGTTCGTTTAATAACCGACTATATGTCGCACCGTACACTTCAGGGGGTTGTTAATAATTCATATAGTTATGTAGGTATAATAACCATGTACGTAATGTAACAAACTTTCACCCTTTGAACTTGCAAGTTTTGTTGAAGATTTATTATTTCTTAATTTAAAGTATTCCAAATCTACACAATATATTAATCCTGACCGGGAGTTTAATAACCCAATAAGAACGTTATTAAACCATGCAGAGGCAGTGTGGATATCCTTATATCCACTACCCCATAACGTCCTGTGGTTGTCGTATGAAGTTTCGACAGAGGGACATTAAACTGCAGATGGGCATAATTGTCTTCTTGATAATCGATACTTGATGAACAACTCAAAATAATAAGAAATCTGCGGTTGGCATCCTACATGCTAAGCGTGGACATAATATCGATATGTACACTGCAATGGTGTACCTTATACTCGTATTTTCTCAAGTTTGTGTTTAATTTGGTGATAAACGTACTCAGTTTTAATCATTATCTTAATTTATTGTGAGTAAATATAATTTTGTAATAATTATATATTAAGATTTTACATTTTCTAGAAATGAAGATTTCTGAATTCCTATTAAAATCTATTTATCTCTAGGTATACGAGGGTGACACTGAAATGTCTTACAAAATCGAAAACTGAACAACCTAGCAAGTTATTAGTTTTATTATATCTTTTCAAAATAGTGTCCATTTACATCAATACATCGCTGTATCCGATGGAACCACTGAGAAAAGCACTTTGCCCACTCGACCTTAGGGGTCTCTTCGACTGTATTTTGAAACGCAGACACTGCTTCCTCGGCGTCCATAAAACATTTTCCTCGAAGTTTTTCTTTAAAAAATAAATTAAAATCGCAAGGTGCGAGGTATGGGCAGGTGACCCAGTAATTCCACGTCTGACATCATGAAGTAGTTGATTGTTTGCTTGGCGGTGTGCGACAAGGCGTTGTCGTGGTCGTAGGGGATCCTACTGCGAGATCGTTTCTCCTGAAAATTTTCCAAGACAAGTGACAAACAAATGTTAGTGTACCACTCTGCAGTAACTGTTTTTAGATCACCTAAAACAATTGTTGCGTAATGACCTGTCTTCCGAAGAACGAGGCCACCATTTTTCCCCACGCTTCGACCTCTCTTCACTTTAGCTGGCAACTCCTCGGAAAGAAACACCTAGACAGCAGACTGATCAGTTTCAGGATCATAACATAATCCAGCTTTCGTCACCCGTAAGTATGTCGAACACAGCATTTGAGTCATCTCCGTTAAATCTTTAAACCATTTCACTACACCAATCAATACGACGGAGCTGTTGGGCCTCTGTCAAATTATGAGGTATCCACCGGGCACAAAGTTTCCTGGCCGCTAAATGTTCATGGAGGATTTTGTGCACTTGACTCGTACCGTTGCCTAAGCTTGTCCGAATCTGCTGATAAGTCGCTCTTTTGCCAGTCTCTATCATACGCCGCACAACGCTACTGAACACGACTGAAGATAACATCTATCTTCAGTCGTCGCCGTAGAAGGCCGTCCCTCACGCAGATCATCGGTGAGATTATTGCGACCACGTTTAAACTCATTAAACCAGAAGTAAACAGTGGCACGAGATGGGACTTCATCGTGAAAAGCCAATCGGAGTCTATCATAACTTTCTTGTAGACTTAAATGACATCGATAGTCATAAAAAATCATTGGACGAAAATTATTTCGCGTTAAATTCATGCTGACTTGACACAGACAATTTTCAATCAGCCGCCAATTCGTAAACAAATAACAAATTAATAAAATACATACACAGTAGATAATACTGGCAAAGAGTTCCATTTTTAAAATTTGAACTTATTTTTTTATTATATCGTTTACAAGTGGCCAGTTCTAAAAACTTTCAGAGTCGCCCTCTTATATAAAAATAAATTGCTGTCCGTTAGTCTCGCTAAAACTCGAAAAAGACTCGAACGATTTTGATGAAATTTTGTGTGCGTTTGAGTGGCTCCGTGAATGATTTAGATTCACAATTGGACCCGGTTGGTGGCGCTGTTGTCAAGATCCAAAAATCACCCGTGAGAAACCGGGGCGGATCGCTGGTATATTGTAATACAAAAAATATTGCTTTATGCACAAATGTTTTTTACATTTATTGTAAGTGCGATGCGGTGGCCTATAGATACCTTTATCTATCCTCAGATAAAGATGCGATTCAGCACATTGTTCGCACACTAGTGTATTTTGTTTACGTTTTCACCTTTTTCATTATCCTATATGTAGGTCACTCAATAAGTTTTGAGATGCTCGAAATTTAAAAATGGAACGCACTCATTTTTTGTTTCTAAAAAGCAAATTTATTTAAAAATAGAACTCCTTAAGCCAATTGCTCAATATTAAAAAAAATTTCTATTAATTTTCCTGCAACGCTTCCCGCGCTTTTCATTTAAAACGATGGATCTTAACCGTGAACATTTGCGCGCTATGATCTATTATGATTTTAAATTTGGTTTAACCGAACAATTAAGTTCACAACGGTTACAATCATTATTAGGGGACTCAGCTTCATCACGCGCAACAATTTTTAGGTGGTTTGCTGAATTCAAAAGGGGTAAAATTAACCTTAAAAATGACCAAGGAACTGGGGCCCCGCCGGAGCAAACATTTGTCGACGTCAATGCTGGTAAATTGTAGGTCAGTCAACTCTAAGCTTTTCAAGCTGTGCGGGAGAGAAGACCAAAGACCGGGCTTCGGGGAATCATGCTGCATCACGATAACGCCTCTTCACATACCTCCCTTAGAACAAAAGCAACCCTCCAGCCCTGACTTAGCTCCTTGTGATTTCTTTTTGTTCCCAAGAGTCAAAGAAAAAATAAAAGGCAAGTTTTTATCAAGCGCCGAAGAAGCCGTGGCTGCCTACGAAGAAGAGATTTCTGACCTGTCAGATCAAGACTGGCAAAAGTGTTTTCAGAGTTGGTTTAGGCGAATAGAACTTTGTATAGAGCATGATGGAGAATTTTTTGATAAGATGTAAAATAAATATTAACAGTATGTGGAATACTTTTTGTATTAATATCTCAAAACTTATTGAGTGTCCCACGTATACTACTAATTTTTTTGCTCGACTACTCATATCTTTAGATTTCCTAAATATCCCGAGAACATCCAAAATACCGGAATCCCGGTAATATCGAACTGTCCATATCCGGGATCCCGGTATGTAAGAAAAAGGATGGTTTTGCGACCCTATACTTAATACAAGTTGATCTAAAATAAATGCCACGAAAAGATATCAAAAACCTGTAAATATGTCAAAAACCTAAATATATTCTTTCTTATCCATTGATATTAGGTATGTTGTCATTTTATATAAAAAAATTCATGTAAAAATATTTTTTTAAATATCGGTCTTACTACTTTATATAGGTAGGTACGTAACGAATCTACACCTAATCTATATATAAAATTGAAACGTCTGTTTGTCACATTTATCGAAAGATCGAAAAAACTTATAAAATATGTAGATAGTCTTAGACGACTAACTAGTTTGATATAAAAATATCAAAGTTTACCACTTCACTAAATCATATAGTAAAATAATTTAAATTTTTAATTTTAATAAACAAGGATGGGACGGAACACTAAATCATAAATGTGAAAGCGCTCGATATCATTTTAACAATTAGCCTTCCTGCTAGATATCCGTTAGCTCTTTCGATCATTGCCAACGATAAACTAAACGGCTATTCAAGCTCCAAAGTAGGTGAAATATCATTCGATAGCATTCTTCATCTTACGAAATAAATGTATAAGATCAGCGGGTAAAGGTTAAAAGACAAATCATCAGAACTTTATGAAGCGATTTTTTTCACGTCCGTCGAGAAACACGAGGATCATATTACACACGATCATAAGATACGAACTGGCGCAATTAACGTACTCGCGTTGAACCTCACGAAGATATATCGTTGTTTTAAATTAAGCACTCTGATGAATCGCTCTTTCTTCTCCCAACACTGTTATTCGAAAATGGTCTAAGCATTGATTCACATAGAGACTATTGTTACATAAAATGATGAAGACGATCAGTCATCTCTAAATGCAGAAATAAACTCTTTAATAATGCTTGCGAAAATAATGTATTTTGATGATGTAATTTATGCCGCTTCCAATTTTAAGCCAATTTCGCGGTTAGAACATTTCCGATACTTTAAAGGTGAAATTTTCTTTGTATTTCTGCAGTCCGCAACGTAATGGGATGATTGATTCTTAAACGTACCTAATCTTATTACTTGTACGCGTACTACTTATATAAGAAAAAAATTATGCGGACGAACACCATTATATAATTTGGTGACGAAATTCATTTTATGGTGACAATAATAAATTTTAACTCTATCAATTATCTTATTTAACTGACAAAATCCTTACCATGTGGTGGCAGCTTGAGAGAATATATTATAAATAATCGTTTCGTTAATGTCGTTAGACTATGCGACTATGGCATACATGTAGAAAAGTTGTTATAGCTTACGATAGATAGTGGTATAGTAGTGAGGGTAATACGGTCATCCGGTTAATATGGTCACTTTCTCATAAATAAATAAACTACAGCCT